TGGCAGCTGGCATAAATGAGGTTGACCTACCTTGGCATCAAAGAGCCAAAACTCTTACAGCTAAGAGCCTGCCCTACATGAGGAAGCCGAGACAAAAGAATTCAGCCAATGATACTTACAGCAAGTCTACCCTACAAAATTAAGTCTACCTAAGTTATGTTGACTATTAGCCACTGCAGTAATTAAATGGCTTTTGCATGTCCACACTGTGCTCCTTGTGTCCACAGTACACATCATCACCAGGAGAACTTGCACCAATTTAACTGCTGGCGTGGGGCATTGTGGGACGGCTTCTGAAAGGCAGCAACAGTTGATGTAAGCAACACAATGTCTATACTGACACTGTGTCGACCTAACTACATCAACCTCTCGCAGAGGTGAAGTTAAGTCAGCGTAGTGACCGAGTGACATCAGTGGGAGCTGAATTTTAGTGTAGATATTTAGAGTTAGGTCGACATAAGGCAGCTTAAATCAACCTAACTCTGTAGTGTAGCTCAGGGCTTAGATAACATGCCTATATGTTGCCTAGCACAGCGGGGTCTCTGAATGTTACTCAATACAAATATTACATTGAAAAGAGAGAGGAAACTGATGCTGCAGTCTAAAACCAAAATCACCAGCAAGACTTTGCTGTCTACCAAGAGAGGAATAGATAAAGGGAGCAGGTGAGAAGCAGAAGCATCTAGATGCATGGGGACAAGAGGAACATGATACTCATTGTTAGCATGTCTTCACTACTGGAAGAGGAGATAGGCAACAAGACAGTCTTGCACCCTGGAAATCCAAGGAATCCCCGTTTAATGTGTACTTTATTAATGTTATATGGCACATAAGACATAGAAATTCACCCCAGAATTCTTGCAGTTGAGGAAATGAAAAAAAACTTTAAAATTTATTTTTCCCGAAGAACTGCCAATAAATAGAAACTTCTGGGGCAGATGCCGGCTGGCACATTAAAAGGAATGTATCCGTTCTCTCAGGAAATCATCTAAAGCAGTACTGTAAATCTGGTGAGAGAACCCTGTGAGTGTAAAGAACTGAATGACTCAAGCAGTAAAAGACTAATTTTAAAATTATTGGGTCCCTCACATTCACAATAGGATACAACTTGATGATAGTACTTTTAAAGTAACAATCTCCGTTTGGCAAGTAGCAGTGCTTACAAGTAGAGTATTTGTCTTTACAAATGCATTCCTTGATGAGCACAGTAGTATTGTTTGTCTGGCACTATATTGTTAGAATATCAATGTTATATACCCCATCAGCCAGTTGCACTTTGCAGCATCTTACCCAGTGCCTTAAAAACACTTGCAGAGAAGTTTATATACTGAGGCCTTCAGTTACAGGCTGTCCCCCTTACACATGGAGGTCTCTATCTTATCAAGAAAGCAAATATCTTTAGCCATGTCAGCTAGTTAGCTAAAACAAGGAGGAGTCCTTGGGGCATCTTAGAGACTAACAAATCCAACAGTCTAACGAAACAATTCAATTAACAGTAGAATACCAAGAGAGGAAAAATCACTTTTGTAGTGGTAATGAGGGTGGCTAGCAATGCCCCTCTGCCATGTACATTGGCCAAACCTCCAACGTGAAACTGCAGAACTGGAATTAATTTGCAAACTGGACACCATCAAATTAGGCCTGAATAAAGACTCGGAGTGGATGGGTCATTACAAAAACTAATTTCCCCATACTAATTTCCCCCCACTGTTACTCACACCTTCTTGTCAACTGTTTGAAATGGGCCACCCTCATTTCCCCCCCTCCCCCCTTGGTATTCTACTGTTAATTGAATTGTCTTGTTAGTACATGAAAAGATGGGAGTTGCCTTACCAAGTTGTGTGTGTGTGGGGGGGTCAGTCTATGTATATATACCTGCTACTGTATTTTCCACTCCATGCATCTGATGAAGTGGGTTCTATGAAAGCTTATGCCCAAATAAATGTGTTAGTCTCTAAGGTGCCACAAAGACTCCTCGCTGTTTTTGCTGATACAGACTAACACGGCTACTACTCTGAAGCTAGTTAGCTGAGTCAGAAGAACTGATTCCTAGCGTCTTCCTGTTAATTGTGGAACAGGAAACATTCACTAGATTTGTTTGTGTATGCTAAATTGCGAAAGTAACCTTACTGTAGACATTCCTGCCCTTCCTGCCTGGGTCCCCGCATGCTTCATGAGGAAGCTACTGTTGCACGCAGCAGTGGAAGAGCTTCTGTTCACTCTTCCCTTTTCCCCTCCTAGGGGTACTGTGCACACTGCTACCATCATGGCAATGCTTGCTCTGACATCCCTCTCCTACCCAGAACTAGTTAATTTCACATAAAGAGAGGAGGTTGGCCAGTATGCAAAAACCACCACAAACCACCCAAGCAGGAGTGAATATGCAGGTGACCTCTCCCCTATGAAATGAGCTTATTCTGCCTTTTCTATTGGGAAGCATCCCCCTCATTTCTACAGCTAACTGTGAAGTGTTAGCACAACTATGGACATTTAAATTTAAGAGTATTTTCTTCCACTAATAAATTCTCACACAGATTATGAGGACAATATGCCCCTTAGACCAGTGGTTCTCAACCAGTGAAACGTATACCCCTAGGGGTATGCAGAGGTCTAGTTTGCCTAATTTTACAACAACAGGTATATAAAAAGCACTAGCAAAGTCTGTACAAACAGAAGTTTCATACAATGACTTGTTTATACTGTTCTATATATTATACACTGAAAAGTAAGTACTATATATATATTCTAATTGATTTATAATTATATGGTAAAAATGAGCTAGTATGCAATTTTTCAGTAATAGTGTGCTGTGACACTTGTCTTTTCAGGTCTGATTTTATAAGCAAGTTGTTTTTAAGTGAGGTGAAACTTGGGGGTACCCAAGACAAAGACTACTGAAAGGGGTACAGTAGTCTGGACAGGTTAAGAGCCACTGCCTTAGATAACAGGATCCTTTGAGCAACTGCCACAAAAACAACACTAGCCCAGGAAGGTTATAAACATTGTCATCCACTTTAATGAGGGGCTAAGAAAGAAAGAGGAGAAGAAAAGAGGGGGTAGGTAGCAGTGAGAGGGTGGAATGTACATATAGGACGATACATAACCCTCAATGAACAAACCACTTAGGGCGCTCATTACCACAATCCTACCTTGGTCTGTTTTGTCTTGATTTGCAAATTCCACTGTATATTTGGAGCAATCTAGACCCAGGAGTTCCTGCTGCTGTTTTAAAATTTCATCCATCAGCCTTGCGTTATTCCTCTTGAAGATTCCTTAAAAAACCCATAACAAAACGTAAGTCACTTCAGTTTCCACTTTTTCAGAAAGAATGTTGTGAAAATAGAAAGAAACAGGCAGTAAACACTAGCTTTAAACTAGACTCGACAAGATTAATAAGTAACTGAAGCAGATGATACTACATAAATCTAGCTTCATGATGACCTTGGAAGAGAAAATTAACTATACACAACTTTATATCTGGTGTATGCTGCTATTGTTCTTGGCATAGCTGAACCACTACGCAATGACATCTGATAGTTCTTTAAAAAGTAGAACACTGTCACTTCACTGCTAGAATGCTCTAATTTTATGACCAATTTACCATTTACATGTCAGATGCAATTAGAGATAGAGAAGATGTACAAACAAGCAGAAGCAAGGAATTCCCATGTTCTAATGCTAGCCTTGCACCAGCTCCCTCTGTGGCCTAAGACAAATGAAACTTTGCATCAGGACTTCTCTAGGTAAATAGGGCACGGCAAGCTCAGCTGTAAAGCGACAGTGCACAGCATAACCTCTTACATGTTCTTAACAGCTTTACAAGAATCAATGTTTGTAAAATACACTGTAGACTAAGTTATGAGAAGTGTAGCTAGGGCAGATGAATGTTAGAGGCAACATGAACAATTATAACTTTTACAGTCAGATTTCATAGCCAATGCTGGCAGTACAGACCTATATTTATTACAGCATATTGGATCAACTCATTATTTGACACTTAGGAGAATAATACTGCTCATTTTATTACAAAAATTCACTGCTCAAAACTTCATTAGTACTTAAAGTTGACCACCAGTGCCTCATAGACTTTACTTCATTTCTTGGTTTTCAGAGGTTTAAGAACACACCAACCTCAGCCCACTTTAATTCTGCTCCTAGGAGCTGGCAAGAGCCACAGGGAATATACTGAAAGTATGTTTCAGCCAGGGCTACTCTACAATAAGCACACATACCTAAGGAATGATGAAGTAAGCATACCATTTTATGTAATGTGGTATGCCCTACAGAATTGTATTCTTTCCTTCATCTGCATGCACTCCAACTGATCTTCATTG